ACATACTTGTGCAGTGATTGAGGCCGAGGATTCTACGTGAATTGTGAAATAACAAACACCAATGGATTATGGGTATTTTAAACATTTGCCCCTTGAATTTGTATGACTTTAGTAACTTGTCTTTTGAACTTTTAATTCTGACGACTTACTCCTAAATTTATAAAATTATTGTAATATACCACATTTTGACAATGATTGTATTAAATTAGTTCTAAAAAACACGTTTGACGAAAAATTCGAACATCCCAATGTAAATATAATATAAATCTTTTAATTTATCAACTTTTAATCTCTTAAATCTACCAAAAATTTTAAATAAATTTAATAAAATGAGACACATTGTCACAATTTTACAAATTCGGAGGGTTAATTGTCAAAATTAAAATGCTAGAGTGCAACTTGCTATACCATAACAAGTTTTCGAGATAATTATGTTAAAAATCCAAAATAATCATATGGTTCTATGTGGTATGTGGATGGTGGTCTTGATCCTTAATTGATAAGATGTTTTTTTCGATTTTTGTGGTCTTGTTAAAAGTCATTTCTTATTATATCGAGTAGTCGAGGTGCTTTCCGTTTTCAGGTTTCTAACATACATTTTACTCATTGAACGTGATTAAATTGCACTAGTGAAACTACTTGTCTCCTTTTATGTATCATGTATCTTTATATTGATTTGAATGAAATTTCCTCTTGCCTTTCAAAAAAAAAAATCTTACGGTGAAAGTCCAAAATTGGTTGAAGTTTGAAAGCCTATAGCTATAAGTACTTCGTGAAATAAAATATGCGCATGAGGGAATTTATGTCTAGTTCTTTCTTTCTCCTCACAAAAGAAAGACATTTAAGAGAATTATTACACTAATATGAAGAACTAGACAGGTAGGGGTGAACAAAAAATTCGACAACCCGACGAAACCAATTAATCCACCCAACACAACCCATTTCAACTTGAATCCAATCAACTTGATCAAGAGATCAACTCAATCCATCCAACCTGACTATTCGCTGGGTGGGTTTGAGTTGAGTTTTTCTTAACCCAAATTAACCCGAACCTACCCAATTTATTTATCTATATAAATAAATATTTTCTTACCTCATAATATATATTTTTTTCTCTCATGTTTTACATTATTTGCTTGACAACCTATTATATTTTATGTTGTATAAGTTTTTGTTATTGTTTGTTTGTTGGTTTATAACTTATATTTTTTAACTTATTTTGCATATATTTTATTTTTACATTGGTTTATAACTTATGTGTAATTTTAGAGTTTTATAAGGTTAATATTATGATGAAAGTTAGCTTTATTTTTATACATTTCTTATTTTGAGTTAAATGATTACCTTTATTTATTTTTTTATTATGTTCAACCCACCAAAATTTTAATTGGGTCGGTTGATTTTAAACTTTAAGTTGATTAGATGGGTTAAATTTGAAATCAACACACCCAAACTTAATTGGGTGGGCTCAAAAACCCACCCAACCTACCCGATGTTCACCCCAGAGACAGGTGGTCATTGGCATGTGTTCGACCTCGGTGTGAATTTACACTATTGTTCCTTTAGAAGATCCCTAGTGTAGGGGTAAATTAATGCGTCCATACTAAATTTTGATATTTGAATCTATAAACGATTATTCGATACAATCTTATTTTATTGTGCTAAATTACACCATTCTTGTGTCAAATTGAACACCAAACATAAAAAAAAAATGCTAAATTTTAACATTTAGTTGTTAAATTACGTGTTAACCCCTTAATTAAATAACTACTACATTGTTATTTTTAAATTTATGACAATAATAGATATAGTATTTAAAGTAACATTATGCTTCAAAACACGAAATATTACAAAATATCATATATATTAGTTTCACATTTTCTTACCAAATATCATATAGGTATTGACATTATCATTAAAAATGTCTTTGAAGTTGTAACACAAATTTCTGAAAGATCCATTACACCAAATTAAACACCTTCAACACCAAAAAAAGGAAAAAAAAAAAAAAAAGAAAGAAAGAAAGAAAAAGAAATCAATAACATCGTTCAAACCACATCAGACATTAACATATCTCAAACTTCAAACTTTATATATCTTAAAATGACCAAAAAATATCTTTCCCATTTTCCACTTCAAATAAGAGAAGAGAGATCGTATACATACATATAAAATTCATATGCATGCGTACATAATACGCAAGTATATATGTGTGTGTGTATATATATATATATATATATATATATAACAAATGTGCCTCAAAGTTATGGTGTATGATATACATATACATACACACACAGAGACATATATATGTATATATATATATATATATATATATATATATACACACACACATATGTATGCATGTATGTATGTAATATGTATATAATAAATGTGGCTCAAAGTTACGGTGAGGGAGGCTTTGCTGGGCTGTTGGCCTTGGGGATCCTAGACTCAGGTATTAGAACGTGAGGCTTGGTCTTAACCCTGTAAAGTGGCATTGCAACCTTGTATTCATGTTTCTCCGATTGTGACTCAAACTTCTCCCAGTTCTTGTCTTCCTTCAGCCCTTTGGCTTCTGCCACGGCCATGCAAATGACAATGAGAGCAGTCACGACCACAACTTTGAGGAGGAGGACTTCCACCGATGGCTTCTTGCCAAAATACCCCATTTTGATTATTAACCTTGTTCTATTGGAGACAATTTTTTGCTTTATTATTATTATTATTATTATTATTATATGAAGGAGCTGAAAAGTGGACAATGCCGCCTTGAGGGTAAGGTCATTAAGGCAGCTACTTAATTAAGGCTCTCCTTAAATCCAGGCCCTTATTATTAGTATGATTAACTAATTTTACCGTCACACCTCAAGATTCTTTTGTTAAAAATCCTTATCTGATTACATTTTACATCTCAAATTATACCGAACAAATTAATTAGTTTTCTTTTCTAAAAAAAGTCTCATATTTTCTAGGTCTTAGTTTAATTTCGTAAAACTAATAAAACGAAGAACAAGTATTATTAGATGTTTTGTTTCTCAAATAATTGTTATAATTTTCTTGATATTAACTTTTAACATTTATTATTGTTATCTTCTAAAACAAGAAGTAATTACTTATTTAATCTCATTTTCTAACTAAATATTATAAATGAACGGGCAAAATGGTAATTCTACAATAATTTATTTTCTCTCGCTTGTATTATACCAAATATAATAAAAAGGACAACTATTTCTTTTCTATGATTCTCCATTTCATTTTCTAAGCTCCTTTTTGGTTAAGGAAATGAAGAACACTAAGGGCATGTTTGGTATTATTTTCAAAATAATTTTGTTTTTAGTATAAAAATGAGAACGAGAATGTTTTGAGAATCATGTTGGAATCATTTTTAAAATTGCGTTTGGTTGACTCTTTAAGAGATTGTTTTGAGTATAATAAAAACGTGAAATCATGTTTGGTTGTATTTGTTAAATTTTGTTTTCAGTACATATAATTAATAATCTTGAATTCGTAATTGGTTATCACTTAGCAAATAAATAAAAGTTAATATACTAGTAATAATATTATAATTGTTATAATATTATTAATAATTATACTAGTAATTTAATTATATATAATAAATGAAATACTAAATAATTAAAAATAGTAACTAATATGTTAGTAATGTGCTTATAATTATTAGTTTATTAGTATAAACTATTTATATTAATAAAAAATAATTAGTATATTAATAATTTATTAGTACACTATTTACTAATTATATAATTAACATTTAATTAAATAATTAGTTAAGTAATTACGACTATACAACAACCTATTATTAGTATACTACATGATTACTTTTTTGTAATTAATCTTTAAATAATAATTAATTACTAATCACTACTGATCACTATATTAAAAAATTAATAATTAGATTTTAATATTAATTATTGATTGAGTAATTAATATTTATTTATTAAATAATTATATAATTAATATTTATTTATTAAATTTATTTAATAAACTATTATTAATTATTCCAATATTAATATATTACATAATCATTGTTTGGTAATTAAATATTTAATTGATTAGTAATCACTAATTATTATTTATTTTTATTAATAAATTATAAATTCCATATTAAAATTTTAATATTTAATTAATAATTGAGTATTTACTATGTATTTGTTTATTATTAATTATTTACTAATTAATAATTAATTTATTATATACTAAAAAATTAATTATTCAATATAATATTGTTGATAAGTTTTAGAAAATGAAAACAGAAAAAGAAAAATAACTTTCAATTGTTTTCTAATTCTTTTGGCATGGCAACAGCGTCTTCCAACAGTCATATTTATGTTGGTGGAGATCTTTGGCGGTAAGATGGTGGCCTTCATCAGCATGCCAACAACGTTGGCATCGGCGGTGTGGAATTACAGTCGTGAGTTGAGAGTGAGAGAGAGGAAAAGCTTTTTTTAAAACACAGTGGGAGAGAGATGGAGAGTTGGAAAGAGAATATGAGGCCTCGTTAAGTACGTTGATTTGAGTTTTCAATTCGAGCTGACATGTGACTTTATGTGAGAGCTTTCAACTGTAGCAGAAAAAGTTAAATGCGACTTTCATTAAGAGTTTTTAACTGTAGCAAAACTGGTATTAAAAACTTAAATCGGTAAAATAAACGAGACATGAGAGTTGGGGAGGGAGAGTTAGAGAGAGAAACGTGTGAAAGGAGGTTGAATTAAGGGTAAAATTGTATTTATAATATTAAAGAAGAAATTTCGTTTGGAAGAAAATGTAATAGTTATATGGATCCTACGGCATGAAGCCTAATTATCTCAAGTTAAATACAAAAGCCCAGAAAAAGCAATTGGGCCTGCACTTGCCCATACTGATACTTGGGGGCCGTCTAACGGGCGAAGACCGACCCGACCGCATACTGATCGCTTGGCGCTTGCTCGAATCGCGTATCCGTGTCGTTTTCTCATTTCTTTGCATTTTGCAAACTCAAACCCAAACGCCTGGGCTTTCGTCGTTCACTGTATGCCTCACTTTCTCGGCGACTCTTCTCTCTCCTCGTCCCTCACCGGCGAACTCTCACTATTAAATCAGCTCTCTCTCTCTCTCTCTCTCTCTCTCTCTCCCCTCTCTCGCCCCTCTCTCTCATACGCCCACGCAAACGCGGATATGCATATGGAAGTTCCCTCTTTCTCTGCGATTTCTCTTTGGCGAATGCAATTGCCGTATGTAGGATTTTGGTTATGGTAAATTCCTGTTAATTTTCATGTTTGCGAACAATGTTTGTGCTGTTTATCGCTGGATTGGTGCTCAATTTTGGCTGGGGATTGTTGGAAGTTTAAGCTAGGTCATGACTCGTGACAAAGTTTTCTTGTTTAATGGGTTCTGAATCTGGGGAAAAAGTAGTGATTTTGAGGTTGTTTATATAATTATTGTTCATCTATAATGGGTTTTGATATATGTAGGCCAGCTGGTGAAATTAGCAATCTTAAGCCCTAGCTCTAGTGCAGTGCAGGTTTCTTTTTTTTTTTTTTTCAATTGCTTTTTTGATCTGATAAAGTTGGACCAAACTTCATTAGTGGATGACTGTAATACTGTATTACAGATATGCTTAAGCTTAAGCTTTTAGGTTAAACTAGGCCTATATTTTATTTTGCTTAATAAGAATCCCTTGTCATTAAGGTGTCTATTTGTGAACGAAAAGAGAAAGATGGATCAGCAGGAGGATGAAGGGCGTGCTGGAACTGAACAACATCATGGCAAGCAAGATGATGAGGTTTGTTTGGTGTTAATCACATTTCAAATCATTATTATGCTGGGTTTTTCTTTCTCTCTCTCTCTCTCTCTGGTTTTTTTTTTTTTTTTTTTTTTTTTTTTTTTTTTGGGTGGGGGTTTAGCTTGTAGCTTGGCAGATGAGTGAATCAAAAATTTTAAAATTTAAAATTTAATTTTAATTGTATCCTAAATGATGCATTTCATTTTGATCAAGGTACTGAATAGATTATTTGATTATTTGTTTCTCAGAGAGGCTTATTTGGGTCTTTTTAAATGAATAGCAGATGGGTCTTTTTAAATGAATAACATCTGCTATAATTTATGGTTTATTTACTTCATTGCAAAAGAAGATTATCAAGAAGGCTTTTTTTTTTTTGGTAGGAGGCTGCTGCTCGCCTTGAGGAGATCAAAAAGTCAATTGAAGCAAAAATGGTTCTTCGACAGAGCAATTTAAATGCTGAAAGACCTGGTTAGTAAATACTGATGAAGTTCCAAAGTTCTATTGTGAAAATTCATTATTGGCGGGATCTTGTAAAGGGTAGTAAAAAAATTTCCTTCTAATTGTTATGTTGATAATGACTTGACACGCAGACAGAGGACTAACTGCTGAGTCCTTCTAATTGTTATGTTGATCAATGACTTCACATGCAGACAGAGACTTTACTCTCTTTTCATGATGTTTGTATTTGCGAGATGGTCTTCTTTAGGGCCTTGGTTCATGGGATGATTTGAGAGAAGTAATTGAAAACTTCTTCTTAGGAGGTGTTAAAACATGGCAATGTCTTTTCCTTTCATAATTGTGAGTTGTGAGTTTTGACCATACAAATAAGGAAATGAGAGGAAATATGACTTTTTACTGTGGTAAAACTTACTTGAAATTCGAGAATCATTCCATACATTGTTGTCAGCTTTCCATTATCGTTTAAAATTATGATCCAAATGGTGGATGAAATCTCCTTGCTGAGTTTCCAGATTCATTGAGACAGTTGTCACTATTCTCATTTCTCTGTATTATTTGCAAAAAAATTTTGTTTTGTTTTTATTTATTTATTTATTTATTTGGTTTCTTTTCGGAATTATTACATTTCTTGTGTTCTCTTTTGGTCTTGTTTACAATGTTTTTCTTTTGATCTTGTTACAATGTTTCATCCATTCACATTGACTCTGTTGGATGCATAGTCCATGATACTGGTTGGGACACTTATTCTGTCTACTCTTTAATTTCAGACTCAGGCTTCCTTAGGACATTGGATTCTAGTATTAAGCGCAACACAGCAGTTATTAAAAAACTGAAGCAGATAAATGAAGAGCAGCGTGAAGGGCTGCTTGATGAGTTGAGAAGTGTTAATCTTAGCAAATTTGTCAGTGAAGCTGTTACCTCCATTTGTGATGCCAAGCTTAGAACATCAGATATACAAGCAGCAGTTCAGGTATTGTGGAACTGAATTCTTCTTTTCCTTCTTTTGTTCCACAGCACCCTCTTACACACGTGCAATTTTTTGTTTTGCTTTGTTTGTTTTTTTTTTTTTTTTTTTGCTATTGTGTTCTATATCTGACACTTCTCTTGTTACAAAGATCTGCTCTTTGCTTCATCAAAGATACAAAGACTTCTCGCCAAGCTTGATTCAAGGGCTTTTGAAAGTATTCTTTCCTGGGAAGTCAGGGGATGACTCAGATACAGAGAGGAACCTGAAGGCCATGAAGAAGCGTAGCACGTTGAAACTTCTTTTGGAACTTTACTTTGTTGGAGTTATAGAAGACAGTGGTATTTTCGTAAACATCATTAAAGATCTTACAAGCACCGAACATTTGAAGGATCGGGATACTACTCAGACAAATTTGACGCTTCTTGCTAGTTTTTCTCGACAAGGAAGAATATTTCTTGGACTTCTGCTATCTGGGCAAGAAATTTATGAAGAGGTACTTTTTCCCCATTTGTTGGTTATTTCTTTGTTGTTGACGAAGTTTGATAGGAAACCAAAATTCATGGGCTTTTAAGTTGTGGTTGGACCCTGTTGTTTCTTATGGATTCTGTTGTGTGAAGTGCTTTATTCTATAGTCTTTACGCTGATGATTTGCTACAGCTTTTTAAGGGTCTTAATATCACAGCAGATCAAAAGAAACTTTTCAGGAAGGCATTGTATTCATACTATGATGCTGCAGTAGAACTTCTTCAGTCTGAGCATGCAGTAAGGATTTATTTGATGTTAGAGCTTATCTTTCTTTTATTCTTTTTTGTTACCTCCCCCTCCCTCTATATCTGTAATCTTGCATTCTTAAAATCTGCCTTTCTTGTTGCGTATATTTTCTTTCTTTTCTTGGAAATAACGTCCTATCAAATTAATGTATTCCTGCATCTTGCTAGTCACTTCGCCAATTGGAGCATGAAAATGCAAAAATCCTCAATGCTAAGGGGGAGCTAAGTGATGAAAATGCCACATCATATGAAAAGCTGCGAAAATCTTATGACAATTTCTACCGCAATATTACATCGTAAGTAGTTTATTTTCTCATTGTTGTTAGAGCATCTATGTGCTGCTGACTAGTTATGGAGGTGTTTAGTCCTAGCAGCTTTTTTTGGATACTTTGCTTAGAGAGAAATTCTTGCACCTTTGAAGATAAATTTTAGGATATAGGTTTCTTATGAGAGAGAGTTCAGTTCTTTTCGGTGTTTGCTAGTATCTTCTTTTCTTCATGCTTCCCTGTAGTCAGGAGAGTATAACTAAAAAATCTTTATTTTTCCTTCTTTTTTTAATTTTTATTAAATTGTGGTGGAACTCTAGTTCGCTCTAGCTTGTACTTTGCTTCTCTTCTTTAGAAAGTTTTTAGTGTCTTAGATTCATAAAACGGAGTATAAAGATTTTTCATTGATTAATTTCCAGTTTCCAGTAATTACTTGATTTTTCCCCATTTATTCTTAGAAGTATGCACTTCACAGGTTAGCAGAAGCACTTGATACGCAGCCTCCAGTAATGCCAGAGGATGGTCACACAACTAGGGTTACTTCCGGAGAAGACACTTCATCTACTGCTGCTGGGAAGGATTCATCCGTTGTTGAAGCATTATGGGATGATGAAGATACTAGGGCTTTCTATGAATGTTTGCCAGATCTCAGGTTTGTTTTCATCAATGAGTTGTCTGTTTAAGAAATTTTCCCTCGTAAACAGCCTGTTATAGTAGTTAATATGCAGCTTCTTTTACTTATTGGGTTCACATTTTAATGATTTATTTGTACAAGAGAATTTTTTATTTGAAATGTAGCTTAAATGGTTGGTTTATTTTATTCACCTTTTTTTTTTCCCCCAGAGCATTTGTTCCAGCAGTACTGTTGGGGGAAACAGAATCCAAATTGAATGAGCAATCTGTGAAGACACAAGAGCAACCAACTGTAAGAAAATAAAACTAGAAAATTCTCAAGACTCGTGTTTCTTTATCTCCTGAGCTATCTTGTGGCTAGGGGTGCATGAATCTAGATCTCACATAACATGAAAATCTTGATTTGGATTGATTGGCATGACATGAGATTTGTTCAGCCAGATCTATGGTAGGAATAAGATTTTCATGACCTGAGAGTACACATGCGCAAATGCATGCCCTTACGTTCCTTTTCTGATAGAAACACATGTTCTTTCACTTGTATGTGTTCTTGGGTGTGATACGTATATTCGGCTACCTGTTTACCTTGTAATACACATGGAATTGTATGTTTAAGCTGAAGTTGTCAATTTTGGCTCGAGGTGCATCCATTTTAATTGTGATGTTCCATGCTCCTGATGTGCAATTTCATCTGTATTCCTCATGAATGTATTTTGGTTCAGGAGATGTGCTTTATGGTGAACGTATGTCCTGGATTTAATTCCTATGACATAAAATTACTCCTGTCTTCCTAGCCCTAATGAGGACATTCATTTTTTTAATGTTCTTTTATTTCTTTCAAGGAACCGGCACCTGAATCAGACCAAGGCCAACAAGCTACGCAAGACACTGGAGAGGTTTCTACGGACTCTGGTGTGTTGCAGGAGGGCAAAAGCATAGAGAAAGGAAAAGAGAAGGAAGAAAAAGACAGAGAAAAGAGTAAAGACCCAGAAAAAGAGAAAGGGAAAGAAAAGGACACTGATAGAAAAGGAGAGACAGAAAAGGAGAAACTAAAAAGTCTTGAGGGGACAAATTTAGAAGCTCTGTTGCAGAGGCTTCCGGGTTGTGTGAGCCGTGACCTTATCGATCAATTGACTGTAATTATATCTCTGCTATATCTTTCTTGTTCTTTATCTCTGATGTATCTTTATTACTATAAGTTCGCTGATTGTACCTCAGTTTGAGATTTCCTGTTATTTATTTCTATTGTTGTTTAGCTTTGATATCTTAATCTCTAGATTGAAGATCTTACCTTCTGTTGTAATAGGTAGAATTTTGTTACTTGAATTCAAAAGCGAACCGAAAGAAGCTTGTGAGGGCATTGTTTAATGTCCCTAGGACTTCGTTGGAACTACTACCATATTATTCTCGCATGGTTGCTACACTATCAACTTGTATGAAGGATGTAGCTTCTATGCTTCTTCAAATGCTGGAGGAGGAGTTTAACTTCTTAATTAATAAAAAGGTCCGTTTTGCATGTAAGATATGTGTTTATCTTTGAACTTAGGGTGGGTGCCAATGGAATCTGCTTGTTTGTCGTGTGTGTTTTGGGTGTTTGATTTTGACGTTCAATTGATTATATCTTGCTGCAGGATCAAATGAACATTGAGACAAAGATTAGGAACATTCGGTTTATTGGAGAGCTGTGCAAGTTCAAAATTGCACCGTCTGGCCTTGTTTTTAGCTGTTTGAAGGTAATGTCAGTGATAAGAAAGATTTAATTGCTGTCAGCTTTTTCTGCTCTTGTTTCTTTAGTAGTGTTCCATGTTGTCGGTCCATTGGATTTACTCAAATGTGATTGAAAAAGGGGTTAGAAAGTTGTTACTGCTGTTCGTCAAGCTTTGAGGTCAAACTTTATGTCGATACTTAATAATTTATGACTATTTTTGACCAGGCTTGTTTGGATGATTTCACGCATCACAACATTGATGTTGCTTGCAATCTTCTGGAGACCTGTGGTCGTTTTCTGTATCGGTCACCTGAAACTACTGTTCGGATGGCTAACATGTTGGAGATATTGATGCGTTTGAAAAATGTCAAAAATTTGGATCCTAGGCACAGCACTCTTGTAGAAAATGCCTACTACTTGTGCAAACCACCTGAAAGATCTGCCCGGATTGCTAAAGTCCGTCCTCCACTGCATCAGGTAGAAGTCATTTCAGAGTAAATGCTTACTATCGTGCTCAATATTTTTGTGTTGCAACATCTAAATCAACCTTTTGTCCCTTTTTTGCAGTATATAAGAAAATTGCTATTTTCAGACCTTGATAAGTCTACAATTGAGCATGTGCTGAGGCAACTTCGTAAATTGCCATGGAGTGATTGTGAGCCATATCTTTTAAAATGCTTTATGAAGGTTCACAAGGGGAAATATGGTCAAATTCACTTGATTGCCTCTCTCACTGCTGGCTTGAGTCGTTATCATGATGATTTTGCAGTAGCTGTTGTTGATGAGGTTGCTATGGCTCTCCATTCAATCTTTTGGTTAAGTTGGCATTTCAATTTTCCTGCTGGTTAATCTTTAGGAATAGTGTCGTTATGCTATTCTCTTTATATAATTGTTGTCTTTCGGAATAGTGCTGTTATGCTTTTCTCTTTATATGATTGTGCATCTTCTGTTGTTAAGTGATAACCATGAAGTCAAACGTCATGTTCCATTTTTTTTTTGTTTTTTTAATCTCGTAATCTTGATGATATTGAGGATAGCAATTGTGGCAGAAAAGGAATTGTGTCTGGTTTTACGTCATTTCTTTTCTGAGTGTTCTGGAGTTTTTATCATGATGCTAGCAATGGATGTTGTCTATGAGGCTGTTTTCTGCATGCAAGAGGATCTCTTATAGAGCCGTTATTTGGCTGTTTACTGACATGAAATGTGCATATTTTGAGATGAAAAAAAAGAAAAGTGTGCATCTTTCTCTTGGTAATACGGTTTTGTCAAATTTGTGAGTTATTTTTGTACTTTCAGGTTTTGGAAGAGATTCGGCTTGGACTAGAATTGAATGATTATGGGATGCAGCAAAGACGCATTGCCCATATGAGATTCTTAGGAGAGTTATACAACTATGAGCATGTAGATTCATCTGTTATTTTTGAGACGCTGCATTTGATTCTTGTATTTGGTCATGGCTCACCAGAGGTATGTAATCTTTTTGAAGTTTTGTAGAAGTTTATAATGTATCTGCTATGTTTCGTCAGGATGTAGCGCATTCAAACCATTGTTTGACATCTTAATGCAAGGTTGCGTTTGTTATTTGAATCTTTGAAGCTTTGAATCATCGTATGTCCTAATGTCATTTGGAATCTGGATTTGAATATAGATACAATTAAAGCCAATAGATATGCATGCGTGACTATGCATGAAACACTGACACAGTTCACGAAGTTTACAACTGTCTGTGATTTCTCTCTCTCTCTCTCTCTGTGACAGTTCTCTGAATTAACTTTTGGTGAGGAAATCTTTAGTATATACGTTACAATCTTCGTGCATGGTGATCTAATTTTATTTTCCCGTGCTATAGCAAGATCTACTGGATCCGCCAGAGGATTGTTTCCGCATGAGGATGGTTATTACTCTTCTTGAAACCTGTGGACACTACTTTGACCGAGGCTCTTCTAAAAGGAAACTTGATCGCTTTTTAGTACACTTCCAAAGATATGTACTCAGCAAAGGTGCTCTACCACTAGATATTGAATTTGACTTACAGGTCAGTAAATGCAGAGTTCTTTTCTAATTTTCCTTTCCAGTTCTGTTTTTAACGTGGGTTGCAAACTTGGATTACTTTGTATTTTTATTTATAACTCTTCAACCTTCTTAAGTTCTTTACGTTATAGGGTTCTTTTTCTAATTTTTTTTAATACGCAATTCAATTTATCACCTATTGTCTTCGTATATAAGGGAGATCTCATGCACTAAGCATTCATTCTCAGGACTTATTTGCGGATTTACGCCCCAATATGTCAAGATATTCATCCATTGAAGAAGTCAATGCAGCCCTAGTGGAACTTGAGGAGCATGAACACACGATCTCAACTGAAAAGACAAGCAGTGAGAAACACTCCGACACTGAAAAGGCTTCGAGCAGGAGTTCTCCCAATCCTATTTCAGCAAATGGACAGAGTGTTGTTAATGGTAATGAGGAATATGGCGGGGTTCACAATGACCTTGCAGACAGCGACAGTGATTCTGGAAGTGACACCATTGATCCAGAGGGGCAGGATGAAGAAGAGTTGGATGAAGAGAATCATGATGATGAACGTGATAGTGACGAGGATGATGATGATGATGGGGTTGCACCTGCTTCGGATGAAGATGATGAAGTCCATGTTAGGCAGAAGATGGTGGAAGTCGACCCTCAAGAAGAAGCAAGTTTTGATCAAGAGCTCAGGGCTGTTTTACAGGCAAGATTTAGATTAGTTGTGTCTATAATCAGTATCTACTCGAAAGCCATTGGAATATTCTCCATTTCTTATTCTAATGCACATAAATGGACATTTTGAGAGAAGCTAGTTTTTGGTTGCTAAATCATGAAAATTTGTTGGTCATAATTGATGCTGTCAGATCTTGTCTATAATGTTTACATGCTGAATGCTAAAGATTGGCAATAGCTAACGACATTTAAATTACAAATGCAGGAGAGCATGGAGCAGCGCAGGCAAGATTTACGAGGAAGACCTACATTAAACATGATGATACCGATGAATGTATTTGAGGGATCCTCCAAGGATCATGGCCGTGGGATCGGAGGGGAAAGTGGTGATGAGGCGTTGGATGAGGAAGCTGGATTGCACAAGGAAATCCAGGTGAAAGTCCTTGTGAAGCGTGGTAACAAGCAACAAACTAAGCAGATGTTCATCCCTCGGGATTGCTCTCTCATACAGAGCACAAAACAGAAGGAAGCAGCTGAGCTTGAAGAGAAACAAGACATCAAAAGGCTGGTTTTGGAATACAACGATAGAGAGGAGGAACTTAATGGGTTGGGGACCCAAACTTTGAACCATGTGCAGGGTGGCAACAGCAGAATTCTATCACGCGGTCACGTGTGGGAAGGAACCAGTGGGAAGGCTGCCGGCCCACGTCATCGGCATCATAACTATTCAAGTGGCGGAGTTTATTACAGCAGGAAAAAGTGAAGGTTTCTGCAATGCTGGAGAGCTTGACATCATTGATGTGGGTCTTAAGAGATGCACTTATATCTCAAATTCTAATGAGATTCTTACACCCTGCATATGGGAAACGGTGATTTTTTTGGCACGACTGACATCGACCGTTTCCTACATATTTTGGCAAGGTCATTCTTTTTTTCTCGTCAGAAGAGAGTAGTGCTACGAGGAGCAGATACACAGGATAATTTTCCAGGTAAAAAGAGCAATACACAATTTTAAGTGTGAATTAAGAGGTTTCTGATCTGCAAATGTGCCTGTGGGTGTGGGGTTGTGTGCTGTAATCGAATCCTCCACCTGCTGTAAATAAGAATATGAAGAAGAGCATTTGACCAAAAATCTGCTTGGGCTTTCTAATGTATGATGGTTTGGTGATATACTTGTGTAGTTATTTGCCAAACTGCACTCACCTCTAGAATTGTTGCTTTATTATAACAATAGAAAGGGAATTGCATCTGATCAATTCTTGTATGATACTTGACTTTTGTATAAAGCTGTGTTATATTGTGTTTGGTAATGTAAGCATCGCCTATTTTATTTTGGTGGTATGTAAGCAGTATTTCCCAAGAGCCAAAGGAGTAGAGAAATAGGCAATTTTGATCAATGTCTGAGTTCTGATTCTAGGCTTGATTTTTTAGATTGTTTGTTGCAGTTAACTTGGGGAATGTTTTCAAATCTTCAAATGGTACGAAGCTTTTGGGGCCTTTTGGTATAAAACCTAAGAGGACAACCGTGTGGGTTTAGGCCCAAAGCGAGTAATATTATTCTAAGTAAAGGTGTGGATTGTTAGATGAGGCCGAAGAAAGAGAGTTAGACCCTATTAAGAGTCCGTTTGGTTTATAGATTAGAACTATGAGATTAGAATTATTTTTGATTTACGTGTGTTTTTTGTGAGAGAAAATATTGTAGCGAATTATGAACCATGATTCGAATCAGAGAACGAATCTTCCAACTAAATGAGCTCATGAGCATTCCTTTATGGGCATTCCTTTATGCTCTCGGATACCAATTCCACAACTGTTTCCTTGCCTTGGTTTTTCAAATATTCCCGGACGTATTTTATTTTCTGTTGGCCAAGAAAATTGTAGATATTTGGTTGACTATTGCCCTTGCGGCCTTGCCAATGACAGATCTCTCCTGACAAAGGATGCCTTGAAAGATTCTCTAAAGACTGCTGCATCTTTTGACCAGAGGCTCAGACATTTCAAACCTTGTAAGGAGCCATAATGGCACCACCACTAATGCTAAGAAAACTAGAAAAGCCTTAGCTAGCTAGCCTTTTCAAGTGGCCCGGTTTTCATCCTTTGATATGTGCAATAAAATCTAAATAAGAATATTCTCAAACATCATACAAATTGGGACATACCTAAATAATGCTGAAAATATTCCAATTGGGGCACTTGAATATAAAATATAGCTTTCCAATATATACCTTGACGATAATATGCGTTATAAGTTCGAGATGTCATACCTCAAATGAGGCTTTACTTTTCCTTTTGAAAAAAAAAAAAGGCAAGAAACAATTTATATTGACTGAGAATTTGGTTCTCCAAAATCTTGGTGGCCATAAACCATTCTATTGGAGCTATTGGAGCACATTATTCTAATTTTACAGCTAAGAATTGCGAGCCATAAATGGAACATGTGGTGCCCACGTTTCCACTTTGGTTCAATTTGTTATCCTTCGCTATTTTGGACCCGTTTTACTAGGTACTAGAAGGATTGTCACCTTTTTTTTTTTTTTTTTTTTCCTTCTGCATGTGATCCACGATAAGTAATGCATCATATGTTCCTTGTCTTGAGGAGACGAAACTTATTAACGTATTGAATCTTGTTGATTATATTATATTATCTCTTATATCACTTTTGGGTCAAATCTCTTCGTTGCTTGAAGAAGCAAAGCACCTGCTCGATGTGTTGCTTGCCCCTTGCCAAAGAATATAATTCTAACTTTACATTCTTCTTTAGTAAGGCTTGATCAACTGATAAGAAACAACGAGAAAAAAGCATATATTGAAATCAAAGATTTAGTTCTTAGATCCTTGCTTTTGAATCTTTTTAAATTATTTTCTAGCAGTAATTTTTACATAACATGCAATCAAAAGCAAACTGATATATATTTTATATTTTGATAATTAATTCCCAAGTACCTATGTATGTGTATTGTGGTTTTGAGCCACTTTGAGACTAGGATGTGGCTCATCTTAAATTGATCTACATAAATGAATCTTGTTTTTATGTCACTTATTGCAGGAGCCATGAGTTTTCTTTATTGTTGGGTTAGTGGTGCGTTTGTATTCCTGAGTAGGTTTAGTCGACCTGTGTGAACTCATTTTCATGGTCTTGGTTTCATGTAATGTATCCCAGCCCTTTAATGGCTCTACCCACGTGGAAATATGTCAAGTGAAAGGGAAATAAATGTTGCTATATAGATATACTTGAAAAAGCCATCCTAATTATGATGATTTTTCATTGCCGGGGTATTTTTAGCAAGTACCATTATATCTTATGTTCTTAGCAAAAACGGAAAAAGGGGGGAATAAATGGGTGAGAGATAGACTGACTATATGTGAAGATTGCAACAAATTGCGCATAACCAAAAGAGGGGAGAAGATGGCACTTCAGGGTCCAATACGAGTTTCTTGAGCCCTTAAGCAACATATCAATCAAAGAGAAACATTCAAACATTAATGAAAGAAGATAAAATTTCATCATATCATTGTTGTTAGCATGTGCAATCATAATATCCTGCACTGGCTAATGTTATGTTACTGTGAGCTTCCCCAAATGAGATTGCAAAAGCATTTTCCACCAAAAAATGAGAACCTAGCTAAAAATGGTGAGAAATGACCGTAGAGTTAGCAATAAGATAAGGACTAATACAGCACAAAAAAGAAAAAGTAAGATCAGGATTAATTTTAACTCGAGCTAGGGAGATCATAATTTCCTATATGTATATACGGAAAAATTTATAATAGGGATGTACTTTTTTCAACCGGTAGGGTGCGAAAATACTACTGTTTGATCAAAGTTTAACAGTCAAAAAACATAGAGGAGTAGCAAATTAAAATGAGATCACTCACAGACTATCATATTATAACATTCATTTTGAAAAAAAAAAAAAAAAAAAAACCCTAGATCTACCCATGGCTTTCGCTAGCCCTTTCCACGAGTACCATCTTCGGCGATGGCCGCCTACATGCTCGACCTCACCCCTTCCATCGGACCCCTGCAACGCTCAACGCTGCCACGATTCGCCCTCCCCTACTTCGCTCGTCGATCTCGCATGACTTTGGCGGAGTTGACCGATCTCGCAGAGCAACCAATGTTGAGTCGATCAGTATCGGTGTCAATTACAGAGATGCGGCAGATCGGTGAGGCATAGATAGAGTTCGTCGCCACTTTGTGGGGGTGAACTATGGTGTATCCGGCCGAGATGCACCGAGAGAGTAGTAGGCGTTTGCAGATTGGCGGTTGGCGAGTACGATGTTTGTGGCGGTGTTGACAGAGGACGTCGGCGCATGTGGGAGGTGATGGTGCGTGTATGGCGGCGAGCTCAGTCAGAAAGAAAGGAAAAATGATTTTTTTTTAAAAGTCTTTTAATTGAGGTGAAATTATGTGCAATGTAGTCTACAACTGATTTAATGCACATCTTCAATGTTGACTATTAAATTTTGATCCAATGGTCATTATTTATCCCCTACTGATACGGAGAAAGTACACCCCTTTCATAGATTTTTCCTATATAAATATATATATTTATATTTATATATATATTGACGGTGAAAGTTTGTTAACTTATAATTTAGACTCACCGGGAACACTTGCGTAAAAATTCTCACGAATAAATCAAGAAATAATTGTGGAAAAAACAAAAGAGACATAAAAGTTTATAGTGATTCGGTAAAAATTCTTTTATAAGCTCTCCTGAATGTAGAAAAGATTATCCATAATTTGCTGATGATGATCCTTTTATCCCGTTAATTAAGGGATTTTTCGGATACATTCTTATTTGAATTACCGGATTTGAGGGATAATCCTTCTTAATCTTTATCTAATCTCCCAATTTGAATTCAGATATTTTTTGTCATTTATCTCTTCTTGATTTGGCGAGATTTGATTCAAATCTGATCCTGAAGACTTCTCAATGTCGTAACCTTCAAAGGCTTAACGTGGAGTTCTCGACCTATACCCTTCGTCCTTGAGAGTTCTCCTTAACCGAGGGACATCTCATGAACTGTCAGCTCTTGACGTTAGGGATCAATCCCTGACTTTTGGAGCTCTCGACGCTTATAAATCAAAGAGATGGTCTGATTGCTCGATCATAGTGTAACAATATATACATGTATATGTTCCTATATTTAATTATTGATAATATTTCATTCATTTAGTTTTAGATAATATTGGTTCCTCTCAACCCTTGAATCTTTAATCAATTAATCTCTCTAGTTTCCAGTTTGGGTTGACTTATTATTGTGAGCACAGGATTAGTAGTAAGGCCCGAAATTCTCTTTATTGGCTTCTGCTAGCTTGACCAAGTAATATACATGCATACAAAAAAAAAAAAAAAAAAAAAAGAAAGAACAAGAGATGATGTAATGAATGATGTCAAACAAACAATACTTTATATTTTCCTTTGATTTTTTTTTCAAAAAACTATACTAAAAAATGTAGCAAGTTAAGCGCATCTAATAGAGAATAATAGTACTTGTAAAATATTTGAATTTTCTTTTTTATAATATGGCCAGATAACCTAATATCATAGTCTACATTAGACATCATTTACTATGGCTCTCTGTGTCTGTGTGTGTGTGTGTGTGTGTAGGATTGTAGTCGCTTGTAAAGCTAAAACTAGATTCATTTGAAGTAATACGATGAACCATATAGATCCATTTAAGGTAAATAGTTTAATTTTCCATAGCTAATTGAAAACAAGGTTCTTTCACTTGAAAGCTTTGAATCTGCCATACATTAATGACAAAATAGTAGGAACGACAATGATTACAACTATACATGTGATCCAATTTCATACAACGCTAGCTAGAATTATTACTCAAAGCAATTGTGTCATTGATTATTAATTTCTTATTTATTTTTTTAGAGATTATGGTACACTTAGTTCCTTCGTAAATTATAAGTTAAGAGGGTTTTTGATAATTTTGATTAATTTGCACTTGAAATATATTTCATTTTCTGTAATGTCCAAAGGGCTCATCAATGTATTTGATTTGTTTTTTTTTTTGGGTTGAAAAAAGTTAAGAAAAGATACTCATTATTGGGTCTACCATATGAAAGTAATTAGACCGACCACCATGGACAATTTAGGGTGTCATTACCACCAACTACACAAACTTCCCACAAGTGTACGGTTCGTGTTAATCGGCACGTGTATAAAAAATTGGGAGGACAATTTAGTAAATGAAGGGAAAAAAGTTGGGCAAAGTTAGAGGAGTAGGATTAAAAACATTACTATGAAAGGAGGGGAAGCGACCACGTCACTTATAACCTTTAAAACCTCGTACCCCTGCCGACAAGTACATTGGAAACA